ATCTCTCAAGAGATACGGGTAATTTTTGTTTTCTTCCCGAAATGTATATTTTTTCCCAGTTAGCAGAATTGCTCCGGGCAGAAGGCCACGACCAGAGATGCTCCGGTTCTGATGACCGCGCATCAGAACTGCTTCGGTCTCTGATGGCCTCGATCAGAATACCTCGCGTTGGTATTCTGGTTTCGGTCTCTGATGGCCTCGATCAGAATACCTCGCGTTGGTATTCTGATGGCCTCGATCAGAATACCTCGCGTTGGTATTCTGGTGGCACTTCTGAACCGTTACAGCAATAAATGCCCAACGTTTATATCTTTTAATGCAGCGTTAAATGGACAGTTCATGGACGATTCAATGCCCAACGGACTGGTCATTGATGTCCAACGTTCAGGTCCATTAATTTACTATTTTCATACAACAAATCCTCCTATATAAAGGCTAGCAGGTGGTTTGCAACAAGACACGTTCTTACACGCATTCTTGCACTCCATACACGTTTTAGCTCTAAAAACACACTGCTAGCACTCTGAAAATTCCTTCTGTGTTCAGTCTTTGTTCTCGTTCGTTGGAACTCTTGTTTGTGTGCTCAAACATTAGTTCGTTGTCATCGTATCCTGGGAAACTATTGTTGCAACGCTCCTAGCACCGTGGGAGGCAACAAATACGTTTTAAGGACATCGTGCGTAGCACGAGCTTTGACAAATTTCTGCTCCATCTCATTTCTGTTTTCTTTTGTCATTTTATTTAATTAATTTCTTTTAATTAATTTTCTTTATTTTCCGAAACACACCCAACAATTTTTTCATATATTGTTTTTTATTTTATTAATAAAAATTATTTTAAATATAATTTGTTCATAAATGAACAAAATTAGTCAGAACTTCATAAATTTCAGCAGAATCAACTGATTTACCAAACAGGCTCCAAATTTATAACAGTTTTTTCACCAAATAATGTTACATTATTATTATACATTAATCTCGTACAGTTACAATTCTTACTAATATCATTCCATCAAACATAAATCGTTTACACTAATATACACACAATGGTATAGATAGACATTTATCAAACATATTTATGCTAAGCATAAATATCATTTACATAAATTTTTGCCATACAATCAAAAGGGGGTTCAATTTTGATGGCATAAAAACTAGCGACATACAAATATTTAATAAAAGTAATAAGCGCTGTAAAAATGTAAAATTCATACAAAAAATAATAGCTTGATTGTAAAGACTTGTGCTAGAATGCTAGATGTCACTCCGGTTGCAATAATATTTCAATTGAATGATGGCTAGAAATTTCAAAACTATAACTATCCAAGGGTTTTCCTACTTGAATGAAAAAAATCATTAGAGTATTAGACAATCGCTCATTGTAAAGACTAAAGATGACATCTAAAAACGATACACACACATTGCAGGGCTGCACAAAAATAGCCGCACAACCTGGTCGATTCAATCATATTTGACCATTTTTAGTTGGTTATTTGGCACAATTGATCACCAGCTAAATTTCTATAACCATTTGATAAAAAAAGTAGATAAATAGATTTCTAATATATAATAAAAGTATACCTATTTTAGAATAAGAGTCCCCCTTATTTTTTTTGTGGGTGACAACTCCCGTACTCATTTAAAAAATGGGGAATCGTACCTACCATTCACATGATTTGCCCAAATCATTATATCATTTTTAATTTAGATTTAAATAATCCAACTGCAACATTCTGATTGATGCATGTAGTCAAATGTATGGTACCTTACCATAGAATCTACCACAAATAATAGGTAGAATTGCGAAAACTACAAAAGTGAAATATACTTGGGAGTTTCCATATTTACTACATCTTTAGCCACATTTGTGAAAACTAAAAAAAGTCACTTTTCATACTCCGTATAATTATATACTCCGTATATAATTGATTGGGATTGTTGGTGTCTAACTTAGAAAAAGACTTACATATAGGGGTGGGATCGGTCCGGTCTGGGTCGGGTTTTTGCTAAACTCGGAAATTACCCGGAAGGTCTCGGGTTATGAAAATTAGGGACCGAAACAAAGCCCGTTATATTCGGTCCGAGTCGGGTTTTTGGTAGACCGGGTTCGGTCCGGGTTCGGGTTGGACCGGTTAAAGCCCGGCCGTGAAATATGTCATTGTTCTTTTATATTTTAACACTTATTTTCAAATAAAATTAATCAAAAATACAAACTGCAAATAATAACACAAATATTAGTCTCCAAAATCACCAACAATTCAAATTTAAAGAAGATAATTATCTTAATATTTTATGTAAGGATGTATATATATAAATAATATAGGTTTCTTAAAAATATTACGAAATAAATTTTATAAATCAAATAGTTACTAGAGTTGTTATAAATATATTCTCATGGTTATCATTACGCTAAACAAATTCAACATATTTGTAGTCACTAAAAGTTACTAAATCTTTTTTTATCCCCCGTGATTATAATCATATATTAGGAAATATTTTATTTATATTCATATACTATATTAATTTTATATTAAAACTAATTGTTTCGGGTTTTTTCGGTCCGGGCCGGGTTATAGATTTTAAGGCCCGTTAATGAGCCCGGAATTTTCGGTTCGGTCCGGTTTTTTTTTAATTCGGGCCGGTTAAATAGAAAAAACCCGGACCGGGATCATAATTCGGGTCGGTCCAGGGTCGGTTTCCGGGTTTCGGTTCGGTTTTTCCCACCCCTACTTACATAAGCCTTAATTTTTAACATAATTTAATATTATAAGGGATATCAAAATATAAATCTTGATTTAATCAAAGTTAATTATCACATACAGTACTTCGTATTTTGTATTGGTCCATATTTGCAATGGAACCAAAGACTAGCTAGTTTGCGCTTCTTTATTATGAAGCAACATTCATTTCAGACAATTTTCGCATGATTTTCGTCATGGGTCATTCGGAAACAATCTCAAAAAAAAGATAACACCTCATCCCAGAGAGCCTCTCATCAGAACCGTCGAGGCAGTTATCTGGGAGGACGTAAATTGAGCTTTGATCACACTCTGATGTAAAGAGAATGTGGTTTCATCTCAAATCATTGCTTAGAGTTGAATCCGAGACCTCTCCCTTGTGGCACCCCCCTACTACCGTCCTACCAGGTGAGCTATGCCCCCGGTGTTGGAAACAGTCTCAATGTGCTATAATACATGAATAAGACCGTGTACATGACCCCCCTACCTCACCGTAGGTGAGAGCCATTGCGGACACTAGGGTAATATTGTTGTTGTTGCTGTTGTATCATATACTACATATAATATTGTTAATTCTTTTATTTTTCAATTCTAGGAACATAGAGTAATAAAAAAACTAACAGAGAAATTAACACAATAACACCATTACCTTGGAATTCCTTTTTTTGTGAATGAGAAAGAGTAATGATTATTCATGTAAATTTGGCCATGCTTTTATCTATTTAATAAAATTTGATATGACCTGCCATTCTAATCTACATTTTGAAGGTTCAAAGTACTGCTGCTGATTGCTTCATTTAAAAAAAGAAAAACAGATTCGGGATTATAAAAATATATTCCCTGGACTAAAGTCGGGAAATGTTTACATGACCCGGTTAGTGGTGGACCCGGTTCGGGCCACCCGGCCCGTGAACCGGCCCGGCCCACTACTATGCGGGCCCGGGACCGGCCCGGTCTGGCGGTCCGGGACCAGGTGGTGACCCGAACCGGTGGGATAGCGGGGGGCAGGCACGGGTAGGGCAAATGGGGACCCGGCCCAGCCAGGCCCAGGCCCGGTTCGGGCCCAATTCCTTTTTTGGGGGGTTTTTCATTATTTTTGGGTTTCCACCGGATTGGGCTGGGTGTTTTGGGGGGTTTGGGGGGTCGGGGGGGGGGGGGGGGGGGTCAGGGGTAGTTAGGAAAGAAAAAAAATACATTCGACCCGACCTGGACCGGCCCGTCCCGGCCCGGGCCCAGACCGGACCCGGTGGATACCCGGGCCGGTCCCGGGTCTACCCATTAAAACTCAAAGGCCCGCCGGGCCTAAGCCCGGCCTGGGTCCATACCTGGACCCGGTTATCCTAAAAGGGGAAAAAAATGATCCATAAAATAGGGGCTTCAATTTAGGCTTGATTCGGGATTGAGGTTGAAATAAGGGATAATTTGAGTTTACACCTTATTTTATTGTCCAAATTGGACTTTGCAGCCCGTTTTTAAAAAGTTTCAGTTTTGCATCCCAACCCCATATGAAAAGACAAAAACGTCCATTCATTAACAATATATTGGCCTTCAACATATTCCTGATTGAAAGACATTTTTGTCTTTTCATACTGGGTTGAGGTGCAAAAACAATTTTTTTAAAAACAGGGTGGAAAGTCCAATTTGAACAATATAATGGGGTGCAAAATCAAATTACCCCTTCAAATAAACTCCTTATTGCATTTTTTGTAAGTATTTGTGGGAGTTGTAGAGGCCGTTTGAGTTTTTCGGCTTATCAGGCTTATCATCTAACTTTTTCACCAAACATGTAAATTTTGTCTTCGCGCATTGATTTGTGTAATAAGCAGAAAAAGTAAGGTTGTAGTTACTTTTATGGCTGTATTGGCTGAAGTTACTGTAGATGACCATTTTAGCTATTTTTACATATAATTTTTTCTTTATTTTATTAATAAAATATATTTTAAAAATAATATTTTCTTAAATGAACTGAATCAGCCAATGCAGCCACTTTAGCTAGAACTTCATAAATTTCAGCAGAATCAGCCAAAACAGACGATTCTCGTGCTACCAAACGGGCTCGTAGTAGGAGAGTTCTATTGGGGGCTGTTATTGTTTGGCCTTGAGGTTGAAAATTGTCCTACAAAAAGTTGCAAATATCATACAAAAATAATTTAACCTAAAACGTAATTCTCCAATCATGCAAAATTATGTCTTTTTTACCAGAACTATAATAAGTTTGGATTGTGTAAAGACAATGAAATTTTCACTCCAATTGCAAACTCGATTAGATTCTTCTTAGTTTTTCAGAATGCAAAATACCAGTAGAAGATAAGATAAGCAGGCGGGGTCATACATTTATGATTTATCTGTCACTAGAAAAAAGAAATAGATTTACATCCATCTATGAACTTTTTAAATGCCAAAAGCGCTTGCACCGACTAGACTTTTTACACACACAAAAAGAGTCGTATCAGTTCTTAACAAAACACACCCCTGCATTCCTGCTTTATATAAATAAACTCACGGAGACTCTTATAAAGAAATCTCAATCCAATGCAACCCTAAGATCACCACCGCCTCACTAGCTAAAACGAATCTAATCCAATCTTAGATATATGCCTACACACAAAACCAGCAAAAAACTAATAAAATTAACAATTAGCATTACTCCAGAAAGAGCAAATAAAAAAAAAACTAGATTACCAACCAAACACAATAAGAATTGTTACAGCATATACTAGGAGTTCAATACCCAAACAAAAGACTCATCAATAAACAGAAAATAGCTGTTTGCATTGGGTTTTCTTTTTTTGGGTACCTAAGAGCATAATGCACTCCTGAACAAACTCATCTTCAATGGGTGGGAGTTGATCAACTCTGTGTCCTCCTCCTCCTCCTTTCATATTCAGGATCATCAGTGGGCAATTCATATCTGCAGACTGGACAAGTATTCCTGAGTCCGAGCCATGGAAAAATACAGTTTTGGTGATATTTATGGGCACAAGGCATAACCCTCACCATTTCTCCAATGCTCATTTCATCCTTACAGACAGCACATATTGTTGCGTCGTTCTTATCCGGATCATCTTCTTTACTCAAAATCACTTCCGGAAGGTTCTTCACAACGCTTTTAGAGGCAGGTGGCTTGCTTATTGACACATTCTCCACATCAGCAAATTGTGCAAACATCATCTCATACTCTGTGGTGTAATTGTACTCGTCCTGATCTTGATCAAGTTCACCCAGATCGAATCCCTCGATTCTTGATTCCGGGTTTGGGTCCAAATCATGATCATTCAGGAGAACCTCCCATTCCAGATTTCCCATAACCTCTCTTTCCTCTTGATCAGGTACTGAGATTCCATCCTCGTCCAGGAACATGCTCAGAATCTCCCTCTCGTCCACTCTGCCGTCGACTTCTTCCCATTCATAATCCCGATTTACCTCCCTGCGATCCTCCAATTGAAATGATTCCCAGCAAAGGCGCAGGCTTGGATCATCACTCTCACTTTCGTACATAACTGGGCCATCAATACCATCGCCGACGTCCTCTGGGTTGAAATTCAGCCCTGAAATTGGATTTCCATCGGATTCAGAGTCCGAGCCTAGATCAATAACTCTCAGCCCACTGATAAAGTGGAGCTCGTCGTCACAATTATCCAAATCTAAGGTTGAATTCTCACAATTTCTGGTGGTTAGGTCTCCGCTTTGAAGACCTAATCCCCGTCCTCGATCCACCTCTAATTGGGCGGAGCCCGTTCCTACTTCGTCCTCATAGATGACCCCGAATCCCGCTGGATCGGCGTTTATCAGATGAGGGTCCATTATAACCTGCAAAGGCGACTGAGATTGTTCGACGCGTTGGTGGAAGAGGTCCATGACGAAATTGACCTGGTTATCGCGGTCGAAGAAGTCGATGCATTCTCCCTCGAAAGCGTCTCCGTCCAACGATTGCCCCGTTTGACGCCGCCTCACTGAAGTGGAGATCTGGGGGAGGTCGGAGGAATGGAAATTGGAGAGATCTGTAGAGGAGAAGGCGTCGAAGGTATCGTCGAAATCGTGACACCAGTAAGGGAGAGAGTCGATGTCGTCGTTTTGGCGGAAGTCGTCGTTCTCGTCATTGAGGAGCTGAAGGAGTGAAATGGAGACGTCGGCCATTGGTGTGGTTGAGGGGGGGCGAAAGAAAGGGAAGCGAGGTGCTCGCTTTTTCTTTCTTTCCTGAAAATGGATGTTTGGTGGTTCCGACCTTTCAGGCGGTGCTTGTCTCAGTCATGAGCAACAAGCCAACAACCGAATTTGTTTGTACGTTCTGTGTTTCGAAGGTTGGAAATAGGGTGGAATTGTGGAAAGGAAAATGATTTTTTTTTTTAATTCTATGGATTAATACCATAAATAATTGTATATATGTACATATGTACGTTCTGTGTTTCGAAGATGTACATATGTTTGGTATGAGTAAACTATTTTATTCACTGCCTTCCAGACTCCAACAAGAAATAACAAAAAGAAAAAGATTAAATAAGCCCTTATTTAGGAGACTCTGTCCGGCCGTCGTCATTTGGGGTGGTTCCCGGTGGAATTTTTTGATGAAAGATTTTGAACAATCTTATTCATCAAGTCTAGTTTACTCATACCAAATTTCAGCTAAAACTTCAATCGGGAAGGCATACAAATGAATTCTTGAAAATAATTGCGCAGTTAGAAGCGCAGTTATCTTCAAGAATTCATTTGAATGCCTTCCCGATTGAATTTTTAGCTGAAATTTGGTATGAGTAAACTAGACTTGATGAATAAGATGCTCAAAAAATTTCATCAAAAAGTTCCAACTGGAACCACCCCAAATGACGACGGCCGGACAGAGCCTCCTAAACAAGGGCTTATTTGACCTTTTTTTGTTAGTACATGGGCCTATTTGCACCTTTTCCCTATTATTTACTCGTCCCTAAAATTGAGAGATATAGGATAAATAAAGCTCATGTCCAAATTTCGCCAACCCTCCTTGACCAAAGAGTAGACCCTCAACACATGCATAATATTCTCCTCATTATACTCACAATGAGAGCAATTTGGCCGAACTAGAACTCTCCTCTGCATGAACCGTTGTTTAGTATGAAGACAATCCACAAAAGTCTGTCAAATTTTTTTTAACCTAAGGGGCGGTAGTGCAAGCTTCCATATGTTAGCACATGTTACCTCAAGTTAGTCGCATCTAGTCAGCATTCAGTAATACTCCCTCCGTCCCAAAATGGTTGGCCAATGTTGACTTGCACGTGGATTAATAAAGTAAAAACTGTGTGGTTGAAATTTGTGCAGAGGAGAGAGAATTAACTTTTGCCACATATTCCTTACTTTAAATGGAAATGGCCAACCTTTTTGGGACGGCCAAAAAAGGAAATTTGGCCAACCATTTTGGGACGGAGGGAGTAGCTCATATCCGAATATATAGCTTATCATTACCTGCCCAAAGCTACTCATCCTCTCCTCTTCCTCCTCGTAAAGGAATACCTAAACTGATCTTTGCATCATCGTTACCTAACAAGTCCGCTATAATGTCATCGTCCCACTGACTCCCACTTATTTGCTAGTCTGCCACCATGTTGTGTGATTAATCACTTACCCTTTCATAGCCGAGTAGTCTCACCATTCCCAATTATAAACTTATTCCTTCTCAAATTACATGTATAGCCTTGATGATACTCCGCCAAATGCGAGAAGAATTACTCATACATTTAGTATCCAGAATATCGCTATGAGAAAAGTAGCGACCCTTATTTGCATACTTGCTTACCCCAGCATGGAAATTTTAAAATCTCTTGAATCCCACACCCCCTTCATTTTTACTGACACGCTCAGACAAAGATCTAACCACCTCTCCACCGGAAAACATTCATTACTTTCTCTATTTCATTACACAGGTAAGTTGGTTGTAAAAAAAGGCATTCATTGCATACCGAGGCATGACTTGAATCATTGTCTTAATAAAAATTTCTCAACCTGTCCTGGATAAAAATATGCAATTCCAGCTTTAGATCTTCTTAATAACCTTTTTTGTTATGTAACCAAAGATTTTTTTGTTGCTCCCTACCATTGACGTCAGACTAGCAAATAATAAGAGGCTATTTTCGTTATTTCTGTTAATCAATTGCTCTGAAAACACCGAATAAGAGGCTAAAATCTCCTTGACCGCAAAGTGATGGTGTGAATTCCCTATTATGTATGTTTGTATTTTTAACTAGTTTTATTAGTTGTAGTTGTGGAAATTACACACTTTCGGTGTAATACTTTATTTTCGTTAATTATTTGTAATTTATTTAGATTAGGATTATTCTGAGTTTAGGACAAGTCAAAAGCATCCCAAGAATCAAAGGATGGATCCTAAAGACCAAAGAATGTGCAAAAGGGAGAAGATCAAATGAAGATCTTGAAATTTGTTCAATACTCGGTCGAGTATTGCCAATACTCGGTCGAGTATTGCCAATACTCTATCGAGTATTGACCAGATACGCTGGTCAAAATCAAATCTGGGAGCAAAAGAATGTGGCTGAATATTTGATGAAAATACTGTCTCATACTCGATCCAGTATTGGCAATACTCGACCTAGTATGCCTGTATTTCGCAATTTCCTGGAAACTACCTCCAATACTAGATCCAGTATCCCATATACTGGATCGAGTACAGCACCGTGCCACCTCCATTTTGCTATAAATACACTCCTTTTCCTTCACATTAAAATCACAAATTCTCATATACTTCTAAGCTCAGTTTAGACAAGTATTTCCTTTATATTTTCTAGTATGTTTAGTCTCCAAATGAGGAGCTAAACTCTTCCATCTTGGTTGTGCTACTTTGAAGCTTAATGAATTGTAAGTTGCGAGTTATTATCTTTAATAATCTTCCTTGAATATTAATTATGCCTTTAATCTATCTATATATTAATGTTGGAGAGTTTTACTATTTCGGTCCGTCCCACTAAGATTGTCTCATACCTTATTTGGTAAAGTTTGTGTGGTTCTAAATCATTCTTACTCTATTCTTACTTTATCAATTCAATACCAACGACATAAACCCACTTTTATTAATAACTGTGTCACTTTCTCTTGCCCCAAACTTAGGGGGACGGAGGTAGTATTATTGAGGAGATTAAATTATTATCTTGTCCGATTCGAACCATGACTATTACTCCGTAGTTCACTACTCGTATTACATCACAACTTGTGACTACTAGTTCTAAGTTATGATTTTTTTAATGTGAACTGAAACTCATTGTATCATATTTTGTGCAACACGTACTTGTGCAGTGTACTACTCAATTTTTTAGGGTCATGTTAAATTAAATATCGATAAACTAAATTAGATACAATGATACAAAAAATATATGAATCTTAAACAGCGTCAACTTTGAAACACGTCACGTGTGGGCTGACCAAGTATTTATGAGCCGAGTCATTGGTTGTACCCGGCATATGGTTTTTACAACATAAAAAGCTAAGCACATCGCTTAAAGCATCTCTAATATATTGTAATGGAGGCTAAGTTGTTCCCTTTTTAGACCCAAATTTAATTTAATCTTAGAATTTTACTCTGTACTATACGAGAGTATAAAGACCAACACGTTTCTAATTTATCTTCATTATTCATTATTTAGTTGTAATAAAAACAGTCACTGTAAGACTAAGTAAGAATATTATTAGAATCTTCAATATCATAAATCAGACATATTATCTTGGTTTAATTGATGATTAGGTCCCAAATCTATTTTGTGATTCAAAGTGGGGATTTTGATATTCTGGATTCAACTCGGTTCAAACGAGAATGGTAATAGTCATTATATGACAAAAATAATATTGGAAACCTTAATTCAGTAATTCATATTCATGTTCACGTTTACCATTGGATCTGAGGTTGTATTTGATCTATATTTTTTCCGATTAGTTAAATTGAGTCTTCTAGTCTTTGTATCAATTCTGATTCAAAATTTTCAAATGAGTGCAAATGTGCAATAGAACTCCTGCTATATGATTGGAATTACCACTTTCACTTTTCTTATTCACTCCCACAGTCCCACCACAATGATTATTGTTTCTTTAGTCATTTCTCGATCAAGTCGGGGCTTTTGGAATCATTAATTTCACAATTCATATCAGACTCTTAGTCTCTTACTTTAATCTACTACTACGTCTTGAATGTTTTTGGTTCAAGAATCAAGATAGGGCTTTGGTCTTTAGCACCCAATCCAATACGAAGACTGGAATTATCAAATTCATATTCATAACCACACTCTTACCTAAATTACTTTGGGTCAGTCATTTTTTGTTCGTATTGAGGCTTTTGACCTTTGGCACCAATCTAGCTCAAACTACCTCAATTCATACTCACACAGTCACACTCCTATTCATTCCATCCTGGATATTTCCAAGTGCCAAAAGTTGCTTTGATTTTTGGTCATTTTGATGTTTCAACCTTTTTCCAACTAGGCATTATAACAATTTCAACGTTTTTTAGCCCATTTTGATAAATCTTTCATTACTGTTACTAAAAACTTGCTAATGTACATAATGGAATAACTTGAAGCATAATTACATAGATTGTGTGACAATTGATTTGTGTACCGGTGGTGAAATCTGGGGATAAACAAACATGAAAAAAGACGAGAGGCTCTTGGATGAATGGTACTTGCACAGCTTTACTTTTTGCTATTGCTCTCACCACTCATCTTCTTGAGAGACTCAAGCAAGGACGGAGTTTGTTGATTTTTTGATGACTTCACAAAAGGGTTGGAAGGGCGAATGGCCTTTTTGTCTCCTTCATATTTGCCAATCTTGGAGTCTCCTAAAAAAGTTATGTCATCCATCTTTTCTCCACCGTTTGCTTTCTTATGGCTCTTTAGTCCTGAGCTGCTGAGACTCACTTCGCCCGCCTTTCGCAATGGAGTGGCTTGGGCTTGTTCAGTTTTCGTGTTTATATCATTGGCTGGATTGTCCTCCAAAGCCTTCTTTGTTGAGGAAGGAGTATATAAGATGGGTGTTGCTTTACTGCTGCTTTCTGGTGTAGTTTGACAAATGCTAGAAACAGCATTTGCACGTAGGGAAATGTTTGTGTTTGGCTGAGCAAGAGCAGCTTCCGCCACTGCTTCATTTCTCAAACGTTCCTATAACAATGGACGTTGATTGAGAACTTGTATTTCACAGATATGGAAGCGTAAGAAATGCTAAACTAGAAACATTATACTTTTAAATGGAATCTTATTGCAAGAGAGGTTCAGTGCCTGTCTTTTGAAATGAGAAAACATTCTTTTTTAAGAGTTTTCATTCATTATAGATGAGGGAGGATTCATGCTTCAACTAGATTAA